TTTCAAACGAACATTTCTTCTTCCAAGCAGATCTGTCAGAAGTTAGCGAGGCAAGGCGCACAGACTGAATTAGTATTAGCCTGTTTCCTGATAAGCGTAGACAGAAGCTGCAAACTCCTTATGCAAGTCAGAAACAATAAGTACAAAACACCATTCGATCTTTTGGAATGCAAGCAACAGGCCGCTCTGTTCGCCTATTTTCTAGAGTAAGTCGAGGATACAATTGTTTTATTTCCGCAAGTCCAATCTTTAAAATATAAATTTGATTGAAATACAAAGTTGAATTTTCGTTTTTAAGAGTGGTCTTGCAACGCTTCCGGAATCACTCATCAATTGATTTTGACAATTTAAACTTTTATTACTAAACATAAAATGTAATTTATCTTGCAGAACAGAGAACAATCCATCGACTAGTTACGTAAAGCCACCTCCGTATCGGATGGATAACATATCGCAGTCAGAAGAACTGCCCACGAAGAAAAGAAAAGTCGTCTCTGGCGATACTATCGACGCCGCGGAGTATCGAGATTACTCAGGGATCATAGCGGACACACAGCAAGAGAACCGAATTGATCCCAGCAGTAGTACCACGCTCGTTTGCGACCATATCGTCGTCAAGACGCAAATGATTCGAGGTACAAAATTTTATCGATCTTCCTTAAGTGATTTAAATTGAGCAAGGAATCCTAGCGAATTAAGTATTTGTTGCATCTGCGCGACATTCTGTGTAACAAATTGTAACTGGAAAACGTCTCGTGGAAATCATATACAAACATTTTACATTATTTTCACATATTTTTCTAGACGGTCAGCTAGAGACAGGCGAGGCCTCCAAAGCCAATCCGGATAAATCGAAGGATGTATCGTCGGAGGACAAACAGAAGAAGAAGGTCAGCATCAGGGAGAAGGAGAAAGACAAAGGTCTGGAGCCTCTTCCGCTCCAGATGTTTCGATATTTGCAGACTAAAATTACAAAAACTGATAAAATGCAGAATATATGCAACATCTGCTTGGAGCGCCGTTGTAACATCGCCTTTCTATGCGGGCACTGCGCGTGTAAGGAGTGCGCCGCTCAGCTGAACACCTGTCACATGTGCCGCGAGACGATCCAAAAAAAGATCAATTTATATTAGACTATCCGATCAATAAAATCGCACCGGAACTTTGATTACCACGCGGTGCGCGCGGTATAGCGTATCTCAAGAGAAAAGGTCGGTGATAGGATCAGTGACAATAATAACAAAATAGCCCTGATACATTCAGTTTTAAACAATTTGGACACTTCAACACAGCTCAGAGACTTGTGTCCGCAAGAATTTCTTTACTCGCTATATTGCATGTTTCCCTCAAAATACTCTATTTGCCCAACAGGAAACTCTGCAATACGTGGGGTGTCGGCGTAGGAAAATATTCACCAATTGTTTGTAAGGACGCGCGCATTACGTCATTCGATTATGATATTAAACTGTCAAAATGTACACTTTATTTCCGCAAATAATTTGTACGAAAGAGACGAAACTCTTATTCGTAAAAAATATCGTACAAACATCGTGCCTTAGATAGATTGCACGTAACACGAGAATCGTGGATGCAAGATCAGATATGAGATAGTTCTCACGTTACCTTAAATATTTGATATTGAAATATATACTAAAAGTTGAAGTTTAGATATATAATTAATCTACGTGGTAGTTTCGACGAATCGAGATAGATATAATTAAACAAGAAGGCTGGAGAATAATGAACTAATCTTTTCGGGTAATCTTAACAGATTGCGAGAATGATGACGTTAAATTATCATATGCACGATAAGTGACATATGCGACGAAAACAAGACATTTACACTATATCGGTTTTTATCGTTGGCGTAAAAAAGGGTAGATACATGCTTATTTTTATCCCCGCAATTAAATTAGTGTGAACTTACAGTATCCAAAAAATACATGCATTTTTTTTTAAATATTTCTCGCCCTATATGAATGGTATTATAATTTACGAATATTTACGTTCGAATCAGTTATCGATCGATGAGTATGATTTGTAAATGCAGCAAAAAGCGAAATTAAAGCACGGATGATACTGAAGATTTTACTGACAATAAGCCTCGAAAAAATGTACGTAATTATAATTAGGTTAATATTACATTTGTCCGTTTTTTGTCGTACGACAAATTTTTTAAGTTTGTTAATTGGTTGTAGGACAGAAAGAGAGTTCTTGGATCTCTTTATTCAATAGCCAATCAATAAACTTGAAAAAATTGTTATACGATAAAAAATGAATAAATGTTATAATATTCTGAAAGACAAAGCAACAAGAACAAGTTTGAAAATCTCTAGAATTCTCCGAATATTTTTTTTTTTAATCTAGAATTTCGACATGTCGCAAAGTTGCGATAAAAATCTCAATGGACTATTCAAAATCTCCAGATCTAACGACAAAATTACTATATAATTGAGCAAATTTGGAAAGTCTGACTTCCTTGATGGCAGTCATAGAGAAGGCTATTAAAGTAATTTAAGAAAATAGTTTCTCACGCAAAATTTCACGGGAAAATTTTGAGAGAAGGTCAAAATTCGGGAGCAACCATAATAAGACGGAACAGAGTTCCAAAAAGAAAGAGAATGACAATAAGAACAAGAAATTTAAAAAGAATACAAAACTTTAAACCAAAATTTAATCGAGTTCGGGGAATGTTGTCAGTGTGAGGCTGAGGGACATTTTCGCGCGGAGTGCCCCTCTCTATCGATTGAGGAGAGAAGAAACTCGGAGTAGTTGAGATTGACAAGGCGGATTTGATTGAAATTGCAAGCGATTGGCGCTGCTGTGTAGCAGTATCTGACAGCGACAATTAGCACCTTCCCTTTTCCCAAGTAATCGTCGCGGTGTGCACACGTTTTAGAGCAAGTGTCGATGGTGTGTATGTATGTATCAGAATGTGCGAGCAAGGCAGCTGCACCCGAGCAAGTAACAACAAGATCTTTGTAAATTGATCTTCATTGTATGTTTTATTTTATTATTTTTTTTAAAGACCGCGAGTGCCTCGAACTTGTCTACGGAATTAAAATAAATTCGAACTTCATAAAACGTTAACAGGTGTGCTTCAGTGAGTTTTATTTCCACTATTTCAATATTAACATTCTACATCTCTATTTTGTGTCTTCATACGTATATTCATCTTTCTATCATTATCAATATAATCATATCTACCGCGAATACTCTAATTCTTCCTATATTATTTTTATATACTTCTTTTTCACCCTATTTCTTCATTCTCTGCCATCTCTTCTGTATTTTTTCCCCATACTTATTGCTCTTCTTTCACCTATATTTACTTCTTTTTACTTACTCCAAAAACTTATCTCGCATAATCGCAATGCTCGTTAACCGCAAACGTTTTGTATAAAGTTTTTATATAAAGAATAATCCGTAGCTAAGCTGCGTTCCAGGGGCGTGTTATCATTCTGTCCTTGAGTGTTTAGAGATAGAAAAGTAAAGATAAATTGACACAATGATAAAATGATGATAACGCATTTGCCGAACTCATCCTTAGCCGTTGACTACGCGCAGACTCATACCATATTACATATATGATCGTCCTGATATCTTCCAGCATGAACGCAATGGCTGCCGCACATGATAATGCGAAAGAGAATAGGGATCGTTCAGGTACGTTTATTTTTAATATATATAAATTTGTTAATTTGTTAAATAAAAAATATCGCATTTAAATGTCAAATTGATTAATATTACAAAAAGATAAAACAAATAAAGGCCAACAATGAGCAATTTATTAAATCAAAAGCGGAATTGTCAGTACGGGATTGTCAAATGATTATTAAGTGAACGAAAAAAAATGTAATTAAAGTGAAATCGTTACAGTGTC